ACTGTTACCTGGGGACAGCAAACTGTCCACCTGAGTCATATTCCGGCGAGCTCTGGTGGGCCAAATGCATGGTTATGTAGAGCATCTGCGCCCGTTTGACGTTTATTCTGAACTTTACATTTGGATATCTACCATGCTTGAAAGACCTGCCTCCTGCAAACAAAAGTCAGGTTAAAAAGCCAAGAAAACAGCAGCTTGTTCTAATTGTAACGGAACACAAAACAAAGCTAGTTTATTGTACTATTGAATGAACGTACGGACATATTATGTTCATGTCTTCGTATTTGGGCTCGCTAAATGCTACAAAAGATTTTAGGTAGCAATAATTCAAAAAATAATCAAATCAAAGGATTGACTTCATACGCTTCCAGTCCGCCCTTCGAAGATCTATCCGCATAACAGCCAAAACGTCAAAAGCAACACGCGATGATTTTGGAGAAACCACTTCTTGGAAGATTACATGCGAGCCAAAATGGTTGACTGCCTCGCGCCCAGCCTTCGAGAAATGCTTGCCTTGACAGGGGGGGGGGGGGGGAGCACCAATCCCTCCGTTGCAACCGCTGGGGCGCGGTGTCCCACTCAGTAAGCGGTTTTCGGTCCCCACAACTTTGATAAGGAAATGGCCCAAATGCGGTCTGATTTTCTGTCGGACGGGGAGAGGGGGAGGAGTACAAGGGAAAGGAAAAACAAAAAAGGTGGTTGTGTGACTCTTGCTTATGATTTCGGAAAAATGCACGCCTGGGTGCAGGCCTGCATTGCTAAGATGCTTATGAAACGTCAAGGGGATGATTCAGGTCGCACTACACGTTGCTACAGCTCACACTCCTTTTCAGGGTGTAGTTTTGCAAAACGGTAGGGGGTCTGAACAGTGGGAAAAGACGCAAAGTACTCCACCTATGCCGCGCACGAGCCTCCCTCACTATATCTCCCACTTTCTTCTCAAAGTTGGGAGGCTGGAGCTCCAGCTGGGCAGGGAGGCTGGTTGAAGCTCATCAGGTTAAAAAAACCTACTACGTGCCGGATCATCTTAGTGAATACAGCTCCCTCAACGCTAAGTTTTCATCGGTTAAGGTAAAAAAGTAAGTGTTGTCGCAAACGTTCGCGAAACTCGTCCTTAGTTCATGAGTAGGAATTCAAGACTTAAGCGCTAAAATCCGACATGTGGGTTAGGGCTGTTTGCGCAGATTCTTAATGGCATAATATATGTGGCGAATATGTGGTCATTTTCACAGGCCTGAGGGCAGCGCATGAAATGGTGGGACATCTTTGTGGATGTTTGCTTTCCACATCCGTAACATGATACAAACTGCGAAAATTATGGAAAAGAGGCACCACCGAGATTCGAACTCGGGATCTCCTGTTTACTAGACAGGCGCTTTAACCAACTAAGCCATGGCGCCGCGGACTCCGATCGCGTTTTCTATAACATAACGAAACCTTTGAACACTTATCACGTCTCGAAATACGTTTCATGTTTTATAGAAGAATGAGGAGTTAGTCGGCTTCCAAATAAAAATCCAGCTTTCGATAGCTGTGCATATTATTCAACATGATATGGTAGCACTAAGCAGCAGCTTCAGTAGCGACGCCATCTATAACTTCCAAAGGACTTTGTGATCCTCCACCGCCATCTACGCGGTGTCAGGCATTCCTGAATTTAGTGTTCAGACAGTGAAGTAGCGGTATACGCTGGTATATGTGATAAACCTTCATGCACGGGCGTGTTGAAGGCGGAAGGGGACACCGGATATAAACGCCCTGGCATGCAGCCGCGACCAGAGCCATACAGGCACTAAGGAGGGAGGAGGCACGGTGTTATCTTGTTTTTTTTTCCGGGCAAGGGGTCTCTTGAGTAGAATGGCAGGGATTATATTATTGCTTCCGGTCAGGAGCTGTGGGGCCATTCCGTTCCACCGCGAGATACCACCTGCCGCTTGGTGCTGGGGACCCCGGCTGGAACAGGATCCTTCCATTTTCTATTTTTAACACACATCATAATATAAAATGCTTACTTTCATTGTCAGAGGGCTCCAACCAACGCAAGAGGTCCTCCATCATTTGGGGTCCCGTCTCCGTCAACGTGGAGCAAATGTTCTCCTGACCGACCCGAGGCCTCTTGTTGGCACAGAGCGCCTTATTAGGCACTAGGCCTCGGACTCATATAGGAGATCTGCATTGTTGCGAGATCCCGACCAATGCAAATCGCGGGCCCGGCCCTTTCCCTATTTGGGAAATTGATTCCAAGAGCTCAGATCGAAACGGAGCCGGCTGTTCAGTACTGGTGATATCTGGCCGGAATAGAGGGAACGCTTTTTCTTAGTGGTCCCCAATCGGTACAATAGATCATCTAAGTGGTATTTGAGGTCACGGCCTTACGGACGGGGTACTAAGTGTGATACGCAACCAGCCTTTTGGGTCCCTCAGCCTTCCAATGGAACCCTTGATCTTTGGTCCCGAGGGACCCTTCTTCCCCTATTCGAACCTCCTCAAACAAGGCCTACAACCGACTCAGGGCCGCTACTCGACACATGACGCTATGGTGGGCACTGTGGGCCCCTAGCCGACACAGGGGCCATTGTTTCAGAGACCCAAACCAATGAAACTCGTGGCCCCCGGCCCTGCGGCCCGGCGCTGGAAATGGGCCCCCGGGATTCAGACAGGCAGGAAGCCAGCTGTTCGGTGCTCGAGGTCTCTGGCCGACCGAAACACCCGCAGTGCTTTAGGGGGCCCTCGAGCAGTACAATAAGATCTTTTGGCTGATATTTGAGGTCACGATCCTACGGGCCGCGATTCCTATGGGACCTACAGCCAGTCCTTCGGGCCCTTATGCCATCCAATCGAGCCCTTCATCGTCGATTCCACTGGGCCGCCGGGTCCCTCTTTGGGCCTCATCAAACACTCTCTTTGGTCGGCTCGGGGCCCCTTGCGAACGCAAGACCCTCTGTTAGGCACTGTGGTTCCCTGAAAGATACAGAGGGTCCCGGCCACTGTAAATCGCTGACCCCAGGTTTGCAGCGAATTAGGAGGTGGGCACTCGGGCCCATATCGACACGGAGCTGACTGTGCGGTATTGGGGGTGCCTGGCCGACATGTAGGCCCATAGCGACTCAGAGGGTCCTCGTTCGGCGCAAAGGGCACTCTACCTGTCATTTGAAGGCCTGTCCCTGCAGGCTAGAGCCCCTGAATAAGACCTGACCGGCACTTCGTACCCTTAAGCCCCCCAGTCGGGCCCTTGATCGTCGGTCCCGGTGGGCCCTCCAGGCTCTTCGGGCCTGTTCAAACACTGCCTCTGGCTGACTCGGGCCCCTTACCAACACAGGGCTCCCTGCTAGGCGAAGTGGGCCCCCCCGACAGACGCCGGGGCCCCGATAATTGTAAATCGCTGGCTCTTGCTTTGTCCATACCTGGGGAATGGACCCCCAGGCACATGTCAACACGGAGCCGACTGTGCGTAATTGGTAGCGTCTGATCGGCATATAGGCTCTTATCAACTCAGGGGGCCCTGATCGGCGCACGGGTACCTCTGGATCGGGTACCTCTGGATTGAAGTTCCCTACCCTGTGGGCTGAGCCCCTGAAGGCGACCCTCGGTCGGCCCTTCGGACCCTTCGGACCCTCGAAGCGGGCCCTTAATTGTAGGTCCCGAGGGACCCGAAGGGACCCTCGGAGCCTAAGTGTCAGGGGGGGGATGTGCTCCCTATGTCTCCCTGCCTGCGCTACTGCCAGCATGCTCATTTACAGAAAGGTGACCTTCAAGCAGCTGTATGACCCTGTCATCGGACCGTCCATCTTCAAGGCTACCGAGGGAGACGACGGTCCTTGATGCCGCTGTGAACCTCACCTCTGACGGTCCCAGCACGCGCGGATGGCGTCGCCATGGAGGAAAGCTCTACGCTGCGCGTGACATTTTTCAAGAGGCCGACATCAACCTATGGAATCGCTGCTACGCGCCGGTGGTGCGGTATATCTAATATTTCTCAGTTGTTGAACCTGAGGAACCCATGATACTTATGCACCGCTGGAGTCAAATTCTTCAGTTAGGAATTTATCAATTTTCGCACTCATTCATCATACTTAAAACATGCAGCAAAGACTTGTTGATTTACATCTTAACAGCACAAAATATTCTACATATTCTAGCGAGGTGGCCAGACATTCTACGAACAGACCGTGTATCGCGTCAAATCTACGAATTTCTTTGGCTTCGCGCCTTCCTGCTGTAATCACAAACATCTCAACCCTCGCATCACGCGATTTTAAAGTTATTGGGGTTTTTAATTCGTGTGCAAGTTCCTGCTTCCTCATCGTACCATCGTAAGGCAGCAGCCTACGAACTGCAACTTTCTGCTGGTCTCGTTGTATGTAAGTTAACGGTGGCTAGTCATCCGAGTCGTGGAGTCATGCTTGACTTCCACCGTATTTAGGAGCCACCTTTAACTCGTTTTGCCATACCTTCTCCGAAAAGCTAAGCGTAGAATGAAAGGATCCATCTGAGTGCCTGGAAAAACAACGTGCGCCGGTCACGTCGCCCTACTGTAGTAAGCACTTCACAATAAACAGAAAACTATCGTTTCCCGGTTAAGATAGAAAAGCCCTTAAACAAAGTGGCAGAAATCTGGGGACCTTTTTGCGAGCGCGCGGACACCAAGTTCCACGGACACCCAGCAAAGCATGGCTTTTCACTGGACGAAATCCTGCATCCATGCTCAACAGTCTTGGTATTTTTATCACTGCCATACGATGTACATACCTAATATTTTTTAATAACGCAGAGGCGCACCTGCTATCCGCCTCGATGGTTATAGATCTAACAGCGGCATACTGCCCGAGAACCGTCACACTTGTTTCCTGCAGTGCCTGGTACTGTGTGTCAGTGCCTGGCCTGGTTTACCACCTCTTCACGCGTCTATCTAGTCATTGATTCATTTGGTCGTCATGGCAACCATTTAGTTTGGCGCGGGTGCGGCGTTTGGTGGCGACTCTGTTGCCCTGGTGGTGACTTTAGTTCAGTTGTGTTCTGCCACATTTCGCGGTCTTGTTGACAGCAGGTACCATTGCTGCGCGAATTACCGGGGAAAATAGGTAGAAGTCGCAAGCCGCTGCTCATATTGTGCAACACGTGAGTGCTGGGAAAGTGAGCGCTGGGGTCGCAACTGCCTTAAAACCGTGCAGTGCTTTCATATCCAGCGGGTGCGGTGTTGAAGCCGCTGTTCGCGGCCTGCGGCGCTGCCAGCTTTGACGGCTATTGTCCCGCGCGTTTGCGCTCAACATTATATCCATTGAACGTTATCTTTTTGCAGGGTATGTCTTCAGAAATCCAGTGTGGGGCTAATGGCGGCCCGTCCGCCCTCCCCTCCTTGATCAAAACCTTGGAATCCATTTCACCTATCTTGGCGAACAGGGTCTCAAGCGAAATCTTGTCTGAGCTTGCTCTTTAGTTACCCACGAGATGTCGGGTGTGACGTGTCCGAGTGCACGGGCGTCACGCTGAGGAAGGCCAAGAAAACCAAATCCTAACAAAGTAAAGCCTGACGTACACCTTACATTACTGAATCACGCCAGTAATGTCCTCAGATTTTGTGTACTTGTTGCGGATTGCCGTTGCTACTATGGTAAGCTTAAATGCATTTATGCGATCCAACGTTGAAGCGGCGCCTGGTGCAGAATCCTGGATATGAGGCAGAGAAAACACAAGCGAATATGTTGAGCAGATTGTCATTCAAATGGTAGTGTTTACATCTGTGCCCAGTAATGTGACAATTGTCCCTTTATCTGGAAATCGCTGAGATTATTGGCAGGCATATAAAGTTGATTGAGAAAATGCACTTTTGGTGCAACTTTGCAATGTGCACGGATAGTAACCGCTATCCTTCTCCATATTTGCTGCGTGAGGCAAAAAAAAGAATAATTGATGTATGTGTGACGATCCATACTGCTCCATAGCAACGTGCTTGTTCCCTTTATTTGGATATCACATCCCTTGAGGTTTTGGTTTATGTGCCCCTGATTCACGTGGTACCATGCTGCTGCTTAGCACGGAGCAAAATCCCAAAGTTATCAGTTCGTATTGGTCAACGAAATCCGACGCCACAGCACAAAGACAGTTCAGAATTTACTTTAGAACCCGTGCATCCCTTATGCTAAAGCAATGTTGCGCCTGCGGAAGAAGATTATGAAAGACTGGTCTGTGCTGGAACGAAACACAGAGCGAAACGAGAGGAAAAGGAAAAGCAGCAGCGCATCACAGCTAGGTGTGACATCACTAAGGGCCCATCAAAACAGGGCCCAGGAGGTCAACGACAGTCATGCAATCATTTATCGTTGCCGATCCTGGAAAATGGCCCTCAAACTATCCACTAAGAGTTTGTTGTGTCGATAAGCAACAGTGGCTGGCATTTGCCGACCCGCTGAAGACGAAAGCTGAAAACCGATCTTGGGTTTCTGACCCACGCTTGTTCAGCGAAGACGAACAGCGAAGGAGCGAACAGCGACGAGCCCACCTACACCGGAATCTAGCTGTAAACATTTATACTGGGCGGGTTTCAGGCCTTGAAGCTGCCACACAGCGTGCTGGAGATCCCGCTACACGACGCAAAGATGAGACAGTATGTTACGAGCTCTGGAAACCTCATTAGATCCCTCATTTTCCAATGTACAGACGGCTATACGGCCATAGTCAATAAGGAGCGGTGTGGAGGGGAACGATTCTGGATACAGCGGAAGCAACAAGGCAACGGTGAATGTCAGGAACGGCCCTGACCTGGCTGGTTGGCCACCTTGGAGAACGCATGATCAGCCGAGAGACGAACAATTGCGGACGACCAGCTCTCCGAATTTGCCCCCCAAGATGTTTATTTGTGTAGGTGCTTAAATGCTAAATATGCACTAAGAGCCCCCAGCAGCCCGGTGACCTGAATGGCAGTAATCGACCTAATGGGCGATTAGTGTGATCCTACGTTGTGCATGATCACCCTTTACACTTACGCGAGGGTTATCGGTGAGGTAATGAGGCGCTTAGACCTCTGCCTTCCTGCGGCAGAGGTCCCTGGTAATTTGTGGGCTTTGATGATCATGGAAAATGCTCATGTAGCTAATACCCGAGGATATGGAGTGATTTTTAGGCGGTCATGATCCTCTGGTGAAACAGAGTATGATATGTCCATGCATACCTCTAAAAAACTTTTTCTACTTGCCCCCCCCCCCCCCCCCCCAGAACTAACGCCTTAGCTTACGCCTGGCAGCTTAGTGCACGCTAACGTTGTCAAGACGTTTCAAATTGACAATCATGAAAAGTCAACAAACTTTAACGCTAAGGTTGAAACAGCTTGGCAATGAAATCAGAAAAATAGCTGAACGAAATTTCTGGGATTATGTATAACCGACATCAAATAGGACTGAGACCCGCGTAAAAGCCCCCTTCGTATGACGTAGATATATCGGCACGAATGATACATAATGTTTCGGTGTAACTTACGTCGCCAATTTTGTTCCAATGTATCGATAAGCCGGAGACACAGGAGGCACTGAAAGAAGAGTCTGCCCGTGTTTTCCAGCTGAAGTCAGCTCAACGCTGGGTTCTCACCATGGGTTCTCACCATTCTCCTCCGCCCCGGATCGATGCCGGAATATTCAACGTGGCCCGTCCGTCCTACAGCCCTGCTACAATGCAGCTGATGAAAGGTCGGTAAAGCGCCACGTGGCTGCTGCGCCTGTGGCTTTGGTGCCTCGTGGTGAGAGAAGGGACTGTCACGAAGCGTAAGCAGGGTTTGTCTTCTTATGAAGGTGCTTTAGAGCCATTGTGAACGTTCTGATGTAGCGTGAGATGTCGGCTTCCTGTTGCCTGCTGGCAGTCATTTTACTTCCGGCGTAGGTAAACCAAGCAGGGACGGTAGATTTATGGTTGGTGGTTGTACCTTCTAATAACAAACACCCTTCTCTCCAGATGCTTTGCGGCGAATAATTCGGGGTGGCGGTGAGCTTGATAACACTCCCAGGCGTTACAGGTGCCTCGCTCACTGTACAGAATGTTCTTCAACTACGGTGAAACCATGCTCCTCCCAACGTATTCCGAGAAAACCATTTGTTTTGCCCACACGCTTCCAAGCAGTTACGCCTCCTTCTACGTAACGTGTTGTTGCTTTCAGTGCTGATGGAGGAGACCAGGGTCCCAAAGGCCCAGCAGCGCCTGTTCCAGCAGTCCTTGCGCTCCGGCCAGCCGCTGCCGACCTTCGATCGTTCTGTTCGGGTACGCTCATCATCGTGCCACTTAAGCTGTTGTCTACCAAGGTCTCTCCACGGAGAAGACCAACGACAACAGCAGCGTTATGGTATCATACGTCGCAGTATTAGCTAAAATTCCATACCCGCTCCCTCTTTTTCAAGCTGTGGCCCTAGTTGTTGGCAGGTATCTAATAAAAAGCTTCGTTTGCAAATCGGACACCGGTTGAAGTATTTCTTGTGCGAAGACCTGGTGGCTGTCCAATCGTGTGACCTTCCAGCTTCCGTTTACGTGTTTGACCGCGACCCATCGTCTGCGCCTGCCTCTGTTACACATTAATGGCCTGTTCCTTTGTCTCATGACTGCCGCCGCCTTGGTCGTGCGGTGCTAACCCGCCCCGATGACTTGACCTGACCTGACCTGACCGCGGTGCGGAGCAGCACCGACCTCGGCCGTCCCGGCCTGCTACCCGCGAGCGGACGGAAAGCACGTGCGGCCGCCGAAGCCAGGACACCATCAGCCGTCTAGAGAGCGGCCAGCCGCCCGTCTACCGGCCGGTTCCAGGACGTGAGTGTGCCGTATACACCGGAACAAAGGCGGGAGTGTACTGTGTGCGTCGGCACAAAGGTGTGGGTGTGCCGTATATACCGGAACAAGGGCGGGAACGTACTGTATGCGTCGGCACAAAGACGTGAGTGTAGCTTATGCTTCGGCACAAAGTCGTGAGTGTGCCGGACACATCGGAACAAGGGCGGAAGCGTACTGTACGCATCGGCACAAAGACGTGAGTATAGCGTATGCAGAGGCACAAAGATATAAGTGTTCCATCTACACCGGCACAAAGTCGTGAGCGTACCGAACACGGCGGCAAAAGGGCAAGAGTGTACTGTATGTCCCAGCACAAAAACCGTGCACCGTATGCGCCGGCAGAAAGGCCTGGATGTACCGTTTGCACCGGCAGAGACGTGAATGTGATTTGTGCGTCGGCACAAAGATGTGACTGTGGCGTATGCAGCGGCACAAAGACGTTAGTGTGCCGTCGGCACCGACACAGAGACATGAATATACCTCTGACGCTGGCACAAAGACGTGAGTGTGTCGTATACACTGGCACAAATATGTGAGTGTACCGTATACACCGACATGGGGGCGTGGGTGTGTCGTGTGCACCGGCACAGGGTTAGTGTGTCGAATGTAGTTGCGTATAACAGTAACGCATCGGGGCGGCCTTCGGCTTCTGTCTTTGGCTTCGCAAAGCCACTGTTTTTCGTTCATGGTTTCGGGTTCAGCTTTAGCTTTCAGATATTTGGTATAGCTGGATTCTGCTCAGGCCTCGTGTCGTTTTAAACGGTTGTCCTTGGCTTTGGCTTTGTGCTATCTTTGTAAGATCTGCCTCGGATCCAGCTTTACGTTCCGAAAATAGTATACCACTGGCTCCCAGTTTGGCGTCACAATCGCAGACTTCAGAGACATCCGCTTTGGCTTTGTCTTCGGCCTCAGGTTATAAGCCCTTTTCATGTAAGCATGAGTAGGCAGGGTAGTGTTGCCTATTAAAAGACAATTTGGTCCCGAGTCCGAATTGTTAGAAAAATCGGATAGGAAGGTGGAGGACCATAGTTTGCCGGTTTATCATCAGGCTAATCAAAACAGTCGTAACCTTTCACACTGGGGCGTCTTTGTTTCACTATTATGTATCCATTCGCCATTTCATGTTGGCAGTACATTATGAGCTAGTTTTCCGTGTCAAAACATGAACGCAACATAACAAATTGGTAAAAGTAACCAGAGAAAAAGGCTTCTAACGTAAAGTTTGCCGGCTTCTTTGATAGGCCTGTCGGAAAATAGTTGCTTCGGCACCCTTTGTTCCTTGTGTGCATTTGCATCCCATGTTCATTTCAGAATTAGATGTCTGTGGAATGCGGCGGGACCAAATTAGGCACCAGTCGAATAAACGGTTGGGTGAAAATGGCTGCTCTGTTGACTGGATTCGGCTTCAAAATCAGAAGTCTTAACTTTTGCCCATGTGAGGTACCAGGACGTGGATAGGGCGTGTCTTATGTAAAGATACAGGGGCATAAGTGTGCCATGTACATGGGTTATGTTACGTTAGCATCTCGTATACGTGAGGAACGGGAAGTGAGTGTGTCACACCGATGCCTGTGCCGTGCATCTCAGTACGGGATCGTGCGTGTGTCGTTTACCTATCACCGGGTAGGTAAATGTCCGGTCGTGGCAACCCTGCCGCTCTTTTCATGGTAACTCCGATACCCTGGCCCAGAAAACCACCCGACACCCTGCCACAGAAAACCCCCGATCCCTTGCCCACAAAACCCGATACCCCGCAGCTGATAACCCTGACACCCGGCCGCAGGTAGCCCCGACACCTGGCCACAGGTAACCCTGACACCCGGCCGCAGGTAACCCCGACACCTGGCAGTAGAAAACCCCCGACACCCGGGCCGTAGGTAACCCCGGCACACGGTCGCAGGTAACCGGGACACTCTGCCCCAGATAACCCCGACAACCCTGTCCCAGAGTAACTCCGACACCCCGGCCGCGGGTAACCGGGACACCCTGCCCCAGATAACCCCGGCACACCGCCCGCTACAACCCAGACATCCTCCCGCAGGTAATCCCGCCACCCGGCTGCATGTAACCCCGACACCCGGCCGCATGTAGCCCCGACACCGGGCCGCAGGTAACCCCGACACCCGGACACACGTAACCCCGACATCCGGCCGCAGGTAACCCCGACACCCGGACACACGTAACCCCGACATCCGGCCGCAGGTAACCCCGAAACCCGGCCGCAGGTGACCGGGACGCCGAGCGGGAGCGGCTGGCGTACGTGATGACCCACGGCCGCGATGAGCTGCCGCTGGCCGGCGCCGCCGACTCGGCCGAGCCGGACAACAGCGGGGGGCCGCCGAGCCGCCGGACAAGATTCGAGGAGTGTGAGTGGAGAGTCGGGCTCACGACCCATGTCGCTCAGTGCTAGTGGTGTACCAAGGGAAAGCTTTTGCGGTTATGTCCTCACCCTTCTCGCTCTGGTGGTGGGGTGGGGCATAGTACCTGGGCCCAATTACTTTTTGGCGGTTTGACACGTCCGGAGGGCCTCTAAAGAAGGGCCCCGAGAGATGAAAACAAAAGCCTCGAGCCCAAAAAGGGCCTCTGCCTTAAACAGCAGGAACCCTATAACGACGAAAGAGAGCCCACTTGGCTGAGGGGCTCTCTGGCCTACTTTAGTAGGGCGAAATCCTGGCTGCGCCACTGTTGCGTGTGCAGGCACTTGCGCGATCGATGAGGTGATGGGCGGAAACGACTGAACCTCTGTGACCACTGCTTTCGCAATCCCAGCCAATTTTAGCGTTGCATCAGGGACTTCAGGACATCAGGGATATCAGGGAGAGGGACAGGGACACAGGGACAGGGACAGGGACATCAGAGTCTCCGAACGAACACCACCCTGCCGGCTGCCGGCCCGGTATGGGGCTCCTCACGGTGAGCGCTGTCCTGCCGGCAGTGTGGCGGGAGGTGGAGGAGCGGCAGCAGTTCCTGCGGAGATGCGCCAGCTGGGCAGAGCGGACGAGTACGAGGCCAGTCATCCGCGCGAGGTCGCCCGCATCGTGAAGGAGATGGAGCAGCTGTCAGCGAGAGGAGCGGCAGTGACTTGAGATGGCGCGAAGCAGCGGCGACCGCAGGAGAACGGATTGAGAAGAGATGGCGCTCGCGAGGGCACCGGAGCAGAGCGAAAACAGTGTGCAGAGGATACACACGAGAAACGGGAGGGGGAGGGGGCAAAAAATAAAAAAGCAAGAGAAAAGTTAAATTTTGTCGTGGAAGATCATCACCTTTATAAGCGGTAAGACATATCGTGACATGTCCTCAAGACTGTGGTGTGGTGATCGATGCAGGTGGGAACGCGGATTCGGAAAATTGCAGTCGCGGTTACTTTATATACTTATTGTCGTACTTGAGGTTATCTCGTTGCCATCCATATGGCGGCTTTGCCATTGTGCATGTGAAGATGTGCAAAAGCCTATGTGTACTCGATGCGGAATAAACAGACTGATTGCAAAACAGGATTGAGCGTTACACTCTCATGGTAAATCGCACTTGTGACTAACAGCTGTAGTATCGTCCGCTCTCACAGCCCGACCAAACACTATGTCGGGTGTTTCCGTGAGTATTTGCCCAATACCTCGGTAATAACAATAGCAATAATATAACGTCCGAGGCGACCGAACACGTCGCGCCCCCGCCACGCGCCACCCACCCAAGGCTAACTCTATCGCGCGACTTCCACTTGCCTGGCGCGTAGGCGCCCCTAAACAACTGTCATACACCCCACAAGCGCATTAAGAAAACAACTGCATGCAAATAAACGGACAAATATCAACAGCAGCGCTGGGTGGTGCAGGTAGGGATACACATGGGAAACAGTATCACTTGTTTGGACCACTGTTTTCCGTGCCGAGAAAATGTAGGGATAATTATATGAAATTCGTGGAAATTTCATTCCGCATGAGGTGTCCACGCCATGGTCCACGCGATGCGGTTACATGGGTACGTCCAGCACAATTCTGGGATGCCTGTGTATCTCAATTTTGACCCTAAGCCAATGCCGATTCCTTTCGGGGTGACGGTCAAGCCTATGCAGTATCGCTAGCCTACATCGCGTCGTTTCTGCCCAGCACAGGGCACGGGAGGAGGCTGCACAGCGCCGCCGCACGAAGGCCCCCAGCTCGTACCCACCCGCGGACAACCCTCCCGCCACCCCTGCAGCAGATCCAACGGTCCGTGACGTGGCCGTCATCGAACCCCTCAATGGCGGCACTGCCCTGCCGGGGACGCGGGCAGCGGCGGCGACCGCTACGGTGTGACATGAATTACGCGGGAGGAGGGATGCCCCAGCTTGCCGCCCGCCGCCGCCATACACGTGGGCTTCGGCACGCCAGCGTCTAACCAAACTCACGGCGGGTTGTAACGCAATGGTTGACAACAGATCAACAGCTGGTAAATGTCTGCTCACTGGTTAAAGCCAAAACGGTCCTGTTTGAAATGAGCGTTTTAACCATTGTGTGAGGGTGGTTTTTCGCGGCGGTTGAAGTCGTTCACTTTCAGCGGGAGGGCGTAATTGCTCACGGTTGGCATTCGCCAGAAAACGCAGTTGACATCAAAGCATCGCCACATGTACGACGAAATAGGGCCACACGCAAGTAGGATATGTGGTTGCATTCGGGACGGCGCGGGCTGCCATCTTCGTTGGGCCGCTGCTCCATTAAGGGCTTCCCACATTTATATTGGGTTTTGAACTGAAATAGCCGTCCTGAAGATCTTTCGGCGCTGTTCACAATCCTTGCCCTTCTTAAGACCTAAGATCCTCTGGTTTTCCGAGCCACACCGCCGTGAAAATTGAGAAAGGTGTGTCGGGGAGAACATTTCAGTCACTTTGACATTCATGACGTCGCAATAACGCCATTGCAATTTTGCCATTCCATAAGCCGTGCGGTAAACAAGGTCAGGAAAATGTTGTAAAGATGTTCAGATCTAAATTTCGTGAGCGTGACTTCCAGATTTCTGTGAGGGCTTAGTTTCCAGCCGTCAGCTGGCTCCCAATCAATGTTGTGCAAGGTACGATGACGCAATCAGCCCATGACGCATTGATGAGAATATTTACTCAACGGAGCATTGTGCTGTCTAAAGCAGTTTTTCACTTGAAAAATCAAGCCAATAGTGTAAGTTAGCTTGCTTCACCATATCTAATGCTGGCTTAAATATCTTTCAATGTGGAACATTCCCTTTTATATTCTAGGATGCTTTACATGGGTAAGTCAAGTATAATTCTGGGATGCGCGTGGATCTCGATTTTGGTTCCAAGTCGGTGCTGATCATGCTGGTTTTCTACCAGATCTTATATGCCTATTCCCGACTCAAGTTGGGGGCCTCGCCCCTACAGTCTGAAAGTTGTGGGGACATCTGCCGCTGCTGCCCCTCCCGTTCCCTTTCCGCCCTGTTCCTACGTATATGAGCCTGAGGGGGCCTTAATGCTCCGCGCATGTAAATATATGTAAATGGGGTTATGACAGGGAGGCTACTGGCTTCCCTCACCCACTCAGTCCGAGCGAGGGGAAGGGAGAGGAAGGCAAGGAAAATTCATAATCTGGTAGCATCTTTGCATCCATCTATGGCGTGGAGATGACGAGAAATGGCGGTTGGGGTAGTTCATGCTGCCTCGGCAGCACCGGTATATGCGCTCTATCACCTTGACCCCCGTAGCCTGCCTTGATGCCCATTTGGTGTACGTGAAGGAAGGTTAGGCCGCTCAGTTTGGGGTATTTCAACCCCTCCAAAGTTATTTGAGCATTTCCGGGTGTCCAGATAGTAGAATATGCCACGTTGCTTTGGGGCGTGACGTGTGAGGCGCTACTCCCCTGCAGGGTCGTCATTGAGCATCAGGTAGGGTGTCTATGAAATGAACTGTTAAAGTTTAACCATGTATCTACCAGCTAATTGTTTGACGATAATTTCTTGCTATTTCCCAACCCTTTAGGTGTTGTGTCTGCCATGGAATACTCTTTCCCTAAGTACTACATGATGATAATCAGCAAACGATATTTGCACAAGCACTGATTGACTCACCGGGCCCCTGCTGTGATGCCACGATAAGTTAGGATTCATAACATATAAGAATCCACCCACAGGGTCGGATACCTACATGAAATTGATTGTGCCACACCTCATAACTGTATGCTCCAAACTCAGGTGAGGTTACATGCATAGAATGTTCAGATTGGTGTGGTGACAAAAATGTTTCTGCAGTATGCTTTTTCCAGTACTACCTATGCACCATCATAAGTCCTTGAAACATAGGCCCTCTTTGCCTATAAATTGGGGGCTCCCTGTGCTGTGGAGAACTTCCAGTAACCAATTGTATGAAAAGGTCACCCTAACCTTTGAGTTATACATTTTCTTCAGAATAGACCTCATAGCATTTTCTTACAAGTAAAATCTAAGGGGGAGGTACCGAATCTCAACACAGCCCAACAGATCCGTTCATTTGGATCGGGTGATGTCTTTTTCTTGGGATTGAGCCTATCAAGGGGCCCTGCCTCCCAGACGCTCAAGGTGTCGGTAGTTGTACCTGTGATTGAAATACAAGACTTAAGAACATGTCTTTGCACAGTTTTGTTTCAATGACTGAGTATAAATTTAGATCATCACTGTGACATATGCATGGAAACAATAGCAGGGTGTATGAAATGCATGATATCTTTTCCATGATTGAAATATGAAGCAGCACCTGAACCTGCAATTAACATCTGAGCAACAGCGGCACAGCGCCCTCCAAGAAAATGCATAGAGATGAAGGGCAATGTGGAAGGGTCCTCAGCAATTGGATGGACCTTGCAAGTGGACATGTAGGGCCTCGGCAACAGCAAAGGGTCTCTGGGTAGCATAATGAGCCCCAAAATTTCCCCCAATCACGACCCCCACAATCAGCAATAATATGTGTCTGGTCATGGGCACTTCACTTTCAGCTGCAACTCCTCTTGATTGTCTTGGGACCAAAAGACGTCCAATTTTGTTGTGTTTTTGTCAGAAGACTGCGTCTGTTCGGCCGGCTATGGACAACCTCGGGCCTATGGGTTCCCTAGGCCATTCGGAGTACAAGGGAGCATGGCCCGCTCTCTCCCCCCCCCCCCCCCCTCCCCTTTAAGATCCGTCACTGGCCCAAACAGCAAGAGGGCATAGCCATCCATTTCGGTAATAAATACTCAAAATATGATTTGGAGCACCCTAAACGATCGCGTGTGCTCGAGCAGGTTAACAGACGGGCCCCCGCACGATATTCGAAAAGAAAGTACTCGAGGCCCAATGTGCAGGGTCCCCGAACGACCAAGTATGCATGAATGGGTTGACAGATGAGGTTCGAACAAAGGCGTAGGGCCCTGCAAAACCAATAGGAAGAAGCCGAGACCTAGTGTGGTGGGGTCACGAACGTTCGAGTGCCCGAGCACCGTAATGATAACGCCCCCAACAGAGCGGAGTGTATTTCGCAAGTGATGTACTTGGAACGGCCTTAGACCAGCATACAGGGCCCATGAGAACAGCGTGAGTGTCGGTAGGTTAACCGAGAGCAACGTTAGGGGCCCTGAGCAATCGAGAATATCCTGGCAATTAAACAAATGGGGCCCCCGGTTGTAGTGTAAAGAGACATGGGCGAGAGTAAAGAATCTCAAAGGCCCCTGACCGACAGCAGTGTCCCGGCATGATAGAAGAAGGGGCCCCGACAACAGCACAGGCCCCTCCGAGCAAATGCAAAGAAATCAAGAGCAGTGTACGAGGCTTTTTAGTAACCGGATTGAACCATGGCGACTAGAAATATGGGCCCCCCGTGAACAGCGTAGGGCCTCTGGACGGCAGAATGAGCGTTACAATCTCTCAATCTCTCACCACTTCAGTCCGAGAATGATAACTTTTGTGTGTTCTCGGGCCTCTTCACTCTTGCCTACGACTGTTGGTGGTCATCTAAAAGCCCAGAGACGTCCAATTTTGTCGTGCCTTGTATTAAAAAACTGCGTCTGTTCGCCGGCTAGGGCCCCTTCGGGCCCAAAGTGGCGTGGGCCCATGGCTTCGTGACCCCCGCCCCCCCTCTGGACTTGGCACTGGG